ATAAAAAGGAGGAGGAGGGCATGTGGCTCAGAAGGGTACAGGAAGAAGCAGGTACTTATACTCTGCCATTTTCAGTGTGTAAATTTTTAACTATATAATAAAAACCTTAAACATATTCATGTCTTAGTATAGTACAGAGAAGACAAATAGTGGCTCTGTGGCATCTTATTACACTGATGGACAGTGACTGCAATGGGCTATGGGGGGGACTCGATAATATGGGAGAATGTAGTAACCACATTGTTTTTCATGTGAAACCTTCATAAGAGTGTATATCAATAATGTTAATAAAAAAATATTCATGTCTTTTGAACCAGCACCCTCACTTCTAGGGAAAGAAAGTAAATATGCAAAGGTGATTGACTATGAAGTTTACAATAGTGAAAAATTGAGAACAATCCAAATGTTCCTTGGTGAGGTCTTGAACTAATACATTACAGTACATCCTTACAGTGGAATACTATGCAGCCATTAACATCAATGAGGGAAAACAGACTTGGAATAGTGTTACAGCATATAAGGTTTAAAAAACAGGCAATAAAGTAATATACATGGTCTCATTTTCTTTTTAAAACATCTGTATAAAGACAAAGAAAAAATTGAACAAAGGCATTGAAAATATTTTAGGCCCTTAAAATTTTTGGTGATTTCAGTTTCTTTTCTATTTTCACATGACAAGGAATGCTAGTAGGTATAACATGTACCCCTCAAAAAGGAGCAGTAAATGTCTAAGACTGGAAGCTGGGCCAGCTAGATAAGATGTCTATTTCAACAATGGCTGCCCGTGGACGTATGGGTAAGTAACAAGTGTTAAACTCCGTGTTCCACCATGTTCCTGCTGCAACAGTGACATGGCATGAAGAGGCAAGAGACACTATACTCCTGGGATTCCTTGAATGTACTTGGAGTCTTCTTCCTAGTGGGTCTGGCCACCTTCTTAGTTTGGACTACTAGCTAGCAGATATCCAGCAGCAGCATGAACCCCAGGCAATGGCTCTTTCAGAGACCCCAAAATGAAGATAGCCTCTGGAATGGAAAGTGAGGTCCCTGAGGCTCTCTGGGGCCTCCCAGGAGCTCAGGAGCTCAGGGATCTCCAGCCTAGACTAACCCACTCCAACTTAAGCCCTCCCATTAACCACCTCCAACACACACACACAACACATACACACATACCCTAAAGTAGCTGCACTCATCTCTCTGACCTCCCAGAGTGAGCAGAACCAGAAATCAGAAGCTTGAACTAATGCAGCGCTTGTCAAAGGGCAACAAAGAAAAAGGAACAATCCAGCCAAATGGGTAGGTGAGCATTTTAAAACAAATTCTCCCTGATTCTTCTTTCTTAATCCTGCTAGAGGGAAGGAGGTCCAAGTGTGGGTGGTAGAGGTGTGGGAGAGATCTGAATATGAGGGAAGCTCCAGAGATGGAAAGAAAGCCTGGGCAGGAATGGTAGTGGAGACAGCAATGGTGACACTAGGCCAGGGGATTTAGAAGAGCCTGAAGATGCCTGGCCTTTGAGGCAGCAGCTGTCATTGTACATCAGCAATTCCTGTGGGCAGAACTGCTATGAGGGGTCCTCTAGGATGGCCTGCCACAGGAAAATTCTCTGCCTTTTTGTTCTCTGTTCCCACTTGCCAGACATGTAAGTTCATTGGCAGCTGCTACTCCATCCCCTCATCTCACAAATAGGGGTTGGGAGAGAGGGGTAGGGCCTTTTAAGTTACCATACATCGTTATAATGGAATACCAGGCAGCTGATGAAGTAGAAGGTGTATTTGATATAGAAGTATTACAGTATTAAGTTCAAAAAGCACCTGTCCTCGTCTGAAGAACATGGGAACTGCAGTAAAGCAGGGAGTGCTCCTGGTTCCAGAGAAAAAGAAGGGTGGCAATAGTAAAAGGAACAGCCAGATCTTCTATCTTCTTCCCAGAGAAATCACCATTTCCCTAGCCCAGTTGCACCCCCCTTGCCCATCATGAGCAGGGTCAAAAGCAAGTTACTGATCTCTTGCAGCCCTGGTGGGCCCAGGGCCAGCAGCAACCCAGCCAGCAGTTCCAGCCAGCCCACAGCCGCTTGGTAGCTCATGGGAATCTGGCTGGTATCTAACCACTTTCTACGGGAACACCTCAGCAAACTGCACATACAGGGCTTTCTAGAGGCAGCAGGGAACGCTTGTCAGCCACACTTTCCAAGGATCCACTGCCCAGGCGCTCCACAGGGGCATTCTGTGCCCATGCCACCAGCTCTACCAACAAAGGAGATACTATTCTAGGTCAGATCCAGGGCTGAGTGCAGCCTGAAGAGGAAAGGGCCTCCCTGCGGGCCTGAGCTTTGGAATCAGGAAGCAGGCTTTATGCTCCTGGGATACAGGCAAAGATGCTCTTTGCTTCCGAGAAGGGCTGGATGGTCATGCAGAGATAGACTGATTTTCTCACCATACTCTCACTAGATTAAAACTCAACCTAAATTCCAGGAAGAAGCTTGGCTTGGGCCTTCTCATCTAGTGCCAAGGCCTTGGTAACTCTGTAACTTCTTCTTTCTGCCTGGTCTGGTTTTTCTTCAGGCTTCTATACAGAACTATCTGGTGGGGGAGAGGATGGAAGGGCAGACTGTTGCTCACTGAACAGATTCCACTCTGAATATCATATGCTTGGTCCTGGATCTCACTGCAGTAGACACAAGGGTAGCTGAGGGGGCTCAGAGTGATTCATCTGCTGAGTTAGGCTCTTCCTGCGCCGTAGAACAACTTCACCTCAGGCTGGCTACCTTTTCCTGCTCTGCCCACCTCAACGCCACCTCCCCTACCACACTGCAAGGAAGCAGCTCTAAGCAGTCTGGCTCCGGGGTTGAACTTCCCCAATCCTTAAGCCAGGAAGTAAGGGGAGAATACATGCCTGGTAGAGGGAGGCTGGCAGGGGTGTCCAAGTCTGGCTTATTTGAGAGGCTGGGGGGTTGGTGGGCACAAGGACATGAAAGTTTTTCCCAGTCTGGAATAGACAGGCCAAAGGGCAACATTCAGGCATTCCTCTCAGGCGCCAATGAAAGGGCCCTCGGGATTCTAAGTTAGAGGAGCTTCTAGTATGGGTCCTGCTTCCTGACTAGCCATGTAATCTGCAGCAGAAACACTTCACCTTTAGGAGGGTTTGCTATCCTGCCAAGAGGAGATTAACAGAACCTCCCAAGAAAGCAAGTAAACCGTGGAGGGGAGGGAGGAAGGGAGGGAGCATGGTCCCCTTTCCATTCCATCTTCCCCCACAACGCCGGGTCCCAGGGAATTGCTCTAGATTTGCCTGTGGCCACCACAGCTCCGCGGTAAGGGGACGCGCCCCACCTTTCACCTACGGAAAATCCAGAGGGCTCGGTGAACTTCCCAGGCAGACGTTCACGTCTAAGTCGAGGTCGGGCGCTCACCTGGCGCTCTAGCACCGACTCGCCCAAGGGCAGGCGGGTCCGCGGGGTGCGGGGAATTGGACAGAAGAGACTGGAAAGTGGGAGGAGGAAGGCAGGGCCAAGGGAACATTCGAGGCCCCAGCCCGCGCCACCTCGCGGCCGATCCCCCGCCTGTAGCTCGCCTTCTGCTCAGCCACGGCCACTTGTTACGAGCTTGGCTGCCCCCGTGAGGGCGAAGCAGCCGCCCAGCAGGCCGCGCAGAGCCTGGCGCTGCAGTGCCAAGGCTGCGCGGGTCCTCGAGCTTGTAGAAGCTCGCCCGCCCCAGAGCCCGCAGAGCCCGCCCCCTGCCGTCCGTTCTTTTCCTCGCTTTCCAGGGGAGTTGCCACCCTCCCTTTTTTGGCCCAGCGCCTTTGCGGGAGAAGTCGGAGTTTGGGCGCAGTATCCCCATCTCCCAGTTGGAGACATTGAGGCCCACAGCCTCTTAACTGATTAAATGGCTCCCTTCGACTTTAGGGTAAGTCTGTCTCCCAACCAGTACGGACAGAGTCGAATCAAACACGGGTTTCCCTACCCGGCTGGCAGAACTCCGTTGTGATCAAAAGACCCAGGGCTTCGTTCCTGCCTAGCCACGCTAGCTTTGCGATCTGAGCTGCCTAACTCTGGCGGGCCACAGTAACTGGGTCTGTAAATGGGCATACCGCCTCATCCCTTCTCCTGGGTCTGTAACAAGCCTGGCACATGTAAGAGCTCAAAAAATCATTTTTAAATTAGTAAATGTATGATTAGTAATAAATCAGTAACTAGTCATTATAAAATTGTTTTGTCTTTGCCTGATACGTATTTTCCCTCTAATTTCTGAGACTGAAATGTGAAAGGTGTTTGAAAATTGAGATAACCGCAGCCATGGGAAGAAAGGCTTTCCCTGAAAACCCTACAAGACACTCCTGGCCCATCTGCTCTGATCCGGAAATCTGTCTAGACCTGGATGGGCAAACCATGGGCCTAATTCAGTCAGCTGTCTGATTTTTACTTCCTCCTCACCCTCAGCTAACAATTTTTGTTTACATTTTTAATGATGAAAACAATTTTAAAGGCAGCTTTCATTACACACAAAAATTGTATGAAATTCCTATTTCAGGGTTCATAAATAAAAGTTTCACTGAAACACAGCCACATTCATTTGTGTACTGTCTACAGCTTCTCTGCAACCCCAGAATTGCTGTTGCCACAATAAGGCCTGCAGAGCCTAAAATAATCAAGATCTGGCCCTTTATGAAAAAGGTTTGCCAAACACTGGGCCAGAGAAGCCCCTAATAAGGGTCTCAAACTGTCCCGCTACTTTCTTTCCTACTAGCCAAGCTGCTTAGATATTTGTTTACTACTTATTCACAACCTGCTGGGGTAGGTGACTTCCTGGCTGAAGACTGAAATGTCCCATGTGCTTCCAAAGGCCAAGCCATTTCAACATCCAGGTATGTACTATTACATCATAAATAGCAGCTTTCATTACCTGTATCTGTCACTAAATCCAAAGTCAGTAGCTAAATTCTCTACCTTGGACTATTAAAATTATGTTTGTATATATGTATTATATATACAATCATTAAATTCCTCAACAAAAAGAAAAATTATTAGAACACTTATTTAATCACTGAGAACACATCTCCACATTAGGAAACTATATTTCAGGATGCTTACACAAAATTTAACACAAAATTAACAGATTTTGACTATAAGCAATATGTGTGTTACTACTCTTTCTCCTTTACCAATTTTTCTATCCTTGGAATTAGAGATGTGACTGCAAGTCTTAGGGCAGGGCCAGAAACCAACAGATTTCTTCGTTTTGACTCGGTCAAAGCTGAAAACGTAGCATCACATAAATAGATGGTTGCAAAAGGTAGTAAAAGCTTCATTGCCTTTTCATGGAGTTCTGGGTAACCTGCCTTTGCTTTTATCCAAAACTGAGTTACAGACATTGATTTAAATACTAACTGTAATTCTAAATCTGACGATAACTGTGCTAGTTTTTCTTCTTCCAAGTCTGTGAGATTACTATTTTGGTGATTCATAAACGGATTAGTTACCCACAAATTTCCTGAAAGCAAGTCATCTTCTGGTGGATAACAATCATTGAACATTTGAGAAAGTCCGTCCAGGTGTTCAAAAATAATGTTTGCAATGCTTCTTATATTTAAGTCTGATGAGTTTGAGAATTCGGAAAACGATGGGAACATGTCATAATTATTCTCCTGTATGTGCTTCAACCACATTTTTAACTTTTCCTTAAATATATCCATTTTATTATACAAATTGAAGAGTGTAGTCATAGTTCCTTGGAGACTTAAGTTTAGTTCATTTACAAGTGAAAAAATATCTGATAAATAGGCCAGCTTTGCAACCCATTCCTCATCAAGAAAATACTTGGCCAAATCTGAATGCTTTTGATGTAAAAAAATTTTAATTTCATGTCGTAATTCAAATAATCTTGTTAAAATTCTCCCTCTTGATATCAAATGTACTTCAGCATGAAGTGGTAAATTCACATGCTCAGACCCCATTTCTTCACACAAAATTGTTAACATACGTGAATTCAATGCATTGCTCTTTATAAAACTTAAAATTTGGGCTGACTGAAAAAGAATTTCATGTAAGCACGGAGACAGATTTTCTGCTGCTAGATGTTCACGGTGAATACAACAATATGTAAATGCCACTCTATTTGTGGCAATATCTTGAATTTTTGCCCTTAAACCAGAACACCTGCCAGTCATGCTTGCAGCTCCATCTGTACAGAGACCAACACAATGTTTCCAATTCAGAGATTTACTATCAATATATTTATTTATTAGTTCAAAAATTTCAAAACCAGTTATTTGAGAAGGCATTTCGATGCAACATAATAATTCTTCTTTTATATCACTACAATCATAATCAATGAAACGAATATAGCACAAAAGAAGGGTGATATTTGAAATTTCTGATAACTCATCTATCTGAAGGGCAAACCACTTTGACTCTCTGACTTTTTGAATCAGCTGATCTTCAATGTCTGCAGAAAGTTCATCAATCCTGTGTCCAATCATATTATTGGAAAGAGGAATGGTTTTCATTTTGTCTCCAGCACTTGAACCCAAAACCTCTGAACACATTTCTACTAAATATGGTTTAATTAATTCTTCAGCAATGGAGAATGGCTTCCTACTAACAGCAATTTGTAAAGCAACTAAATATGAAGCTTTCACAAGTGACTTTTCAACTAGTAAACACTTTCTAAAAGAACCATTTTTACATTCCATTTCAAGAGATTTTTGCTCAAAAAAATGGACTGGCTTATTTTCTAATTCTGAATGTTTTGTCTTCAAATGATGAAAAAGATTTGCTGGCTTCATGCTTTCAGTGGGTAAGATTTCTCCACAAATGACACACTGTGGCCTTGGTGAACTTTCTTTTGATTCTGGACAGATAATAAAACCAACTTTTAAATATTCCTCATCATAGGTCTGGAAAAAACCTATTCTTTTTTTCTTTGCAGGTGGAGAATCAAGTTCCGCATCATTTGTCTCAGTAAGCATAGTTAAATCTGAATGAAATATTTGAATCACTGTTACTTTCAAGAATAAGCAATATTCTTTGCTTTCCCCACACACGTTTAAAAGTTACATTCTCTTACAATTGATATTTGTCAATACACTAACTAGCATTGAAGTGTATTGAAGAATACACTAATTAAGGTTTAAACACAAACCTTAATGCTTCCATCATGCCATTAAAAACTGAATTTCTTCTTTGCCCCAAGTTTGACATAGGCTGTAATGGTACATGAACTAGCAATGCAGTGTATTTAATAGATTACTGGAATTAGGGCTGAAGTTCACATATTTCACCAAAAGAGGAATAAATTATTTTACTTTTAAAAAGGTCAGGAAGAAAAAGAGAACAAATGTTGCAAGAAGTTAACAATTGGTGAACTTAGATGAAGGATATATTAGTGTTCACTGTGCCGTATTTTCAATCTTTGTAAATTTTGAAAATTTTCCAAATTAAAACTGGGGAAAAAATATAAGTTGTTATTAGTTTTAATACCCAGTGTCACTGAGGGTACAGAGAAATGGATACTCTCAAACACTGATATAAATTTTCAGGAAAACAATGTTGTAATACGTGTCAAAAGTCGTAAAAATACGCAACAGATATTGAATCTGTAATTCCACTACTTAGGATTTATCCTAAGGATATAATTAGACAAGTGGACAAAGATCTGTTAGCACAGGTTAACTCAAAATTGTAATATTAAAATACTAGAAGCAATCTAAATGTCCAACCTTAGGGGGATGGATAGGTTATATACATTGTAATCTATGTATGCATCTGTTAAGAATCTCAATGTATATTTAAATTTATACTGACATGGAATGTTTCTGATACAATGTCAAATGAAAAAGTAGTTTACAATGGTATACAGAGAACAATCCAATATTTAATCTAGAAATCAAAAAAAAATGTGTAAGCATAAACATACCCACACATAGAGATGTCCACAGATCTTTTACTACCTTCCACATGGAAATGTGTATATAATATAAATTAATGTACATAAAGAGTGTTATCATTAATTTAACAGGAATATAAAACAATCAAATTTACTTAGGAAGAAAAACAGATTCTCCTTGACTCTTACCAAAGAAAGGCACCCTACATAAAAATGCATGATTACTTGTTGACAGACTAAGCTGTTAATCTAGTTACATTCTCTGTAGTAAAATTACTATTAAAAACAAAAATCAAAAAATGCTTTGGGCAGAGTGGGCTATGAAAGTAATTGAAAATATAAGGGTAGTGGGACTGAAAGCAGTTAACATGGATAAGAGCTATAGTTTACCACCTTTTCAAGTATGAATTAAAATAATTTTCTTATTCATCAACACCTCAGACATACAGTATACTTCTAGTAACTGACCAATCAACTCACAATGTTTTTTATAAAGAACTAAGGTTGAATCAGTAATGGTTTTACCATGTATCTTGATAATTATAAAGTATATTTAAAAAACAGCAGTGCACATCCAGATGTTTGTCCAATCTACACTCATGCTTTATGTGCATATGGATTCAATTTAGTAGTTATTAGTGTTAATAACAATAATTACAAAAGGAATAAATTAGATGTCTAAAATATGTGATCCAAGAATTAAGGAATGTTTTCACAGTTGAGGAATTTTAACTGACTTTCTTTTCCTTTGAGAAAAAGAAAACAGAAACCATACGGAAAACACACTTTCTACATGTGGAAAGCACAAGGACACATACCTGTCTGACATTCCTTGTGCAGTGTATGTGGTTTGCAAGAAGTGGCCTTGGTCTGTGTGACAGGCTTGCACAATAATGCCTTGTTCTTTAAAATCCTGGAAGACTGGGAGGATAGAAGTTTCATGGCATCTCTCTGTTAAAACAAATTTAGGAATTGAAGATTTTTTTTTCATACCTTACAACTGACTATAACTGCTATTAATTGAAAGGTGGCATATAGCAAAAGAAATATAATGCCTCTGGAAAAGTGGTTGCAATAAAGAAGTCACTTTGGAAAATATACACTAACTCCTATTTCTCATAAGGATCAGTTCCATTTATTGCTTTTTAAAAATACTCTGCCTATTGTGAGTACAATAAAAACAATCTTTGCTAAGTAGGACAACTGGCTATTCAGAAAAATTAAATGAAACCTCAGAACATATGCAGAACTATATTCCATATTGATGAAAGACCTCAATATGAAAAGAATCAAACTTCAGAATCCCTGAGAACTTTCAAATGACTAGAACAAGGAAAAAGCATTCTTAAATAAAACAGAAAAGTTAAAAACAAAGCAGACAGGAAAAAGATGGTGGTGTGAGAAGAAACTTCCGGCCAAAACCACATATAACATGAAAATACAGCAAATACAACTAATCCTGAAAGAGTGACTTAAAAGAAAACTGCAACAGATAGCCTACATCTGGGGAAAAGAAAAGACCTCACGGAAAAGGGTAAAGTAGCTAAGCTGTGATCTGGTGGGACCCAAGCCCTCCCCCGACCCCAACTCACCAGTGGGAGGAAGAGAAACAGAGTGGGGAGGGAGTAGAAGCCCTACTACTACCAGTTTAGACTCCTAAATACCCACCCCTGGATATCTGCTCCAGAAGCACGAACCCACATTACATGGTGCTTCACAGATTAGTAGGGTTGGAAAGCAAAAACAGGCAGAATACTCAGAGAGACTGAGATTCCAACCATTTGTGGAGAATAGGTACCCATGACCAGCAACTCTGGGACAAAAGGCAGGCAGACACTGTGAAAGACTTAACAACAGCAAGAGGGATCCTAAAGGAGCAAGGATTACACAGTGCTTCCTGCTCAGGAGAAAGGGCAAGTGGACAAAATTGCCCCAGCATACTCAGCCCAGCAAGTTGGAAAATTACAGGAGCTTCAGGCACTCCATCCACGTTTGACAACGAAGCGTTGAGGCCCCCCACTATGAAACACAGCCTGCTGCTCCTTCCTCCTAGCTGACACCAGGTCGCAAATCTGCTGTACCCATCATCACACCAGTCCAGCTGGAGGACAGCCCCACCTACAGCAACTACAGGGGCATAATGCAAAGGCTCCTCCCTGCACATCCAGCCCACTGGCCCTGGAAATGGGGACAGGCACTGCAGCCAGGAAGCAGGAAAGAGCTGTTTCCTTGCAGCAGGCACCAGCACCACTTGCCTGCCATCCCTGCCATCGCTCCAGGTGCAGGACAGTTTCAGAGAGTAGAGCTTCTAGCCATTAGAGGGCACTGCCTGCACAAAGTTATTATTCCATTATAATAATCAGAAATATGAAACGGCAAAAGAATCGTGTACAAATCAAAATCCCTCAAACACCAGAAAGAGGCCTAAGTGAAATGAAACTCACCAATCTTTATGATAAGGATTTCAAAATAAAAATCATAAACATGCTCACACAGCTACAGAAAAATATTCAAGAATTCAGGGAGGACATCAAGAGACAGAAACTTTGAAAAATACAGTATCTGAACTGAAACACAATGGAGAGCTTTAAAAGCAGATTAGATGAAGTAGAGGAGATGATAAATGAAACAGAAATTAAAACAATATAAAAAAATTGAGGCACGGAGGCGGAGCCAACATGGCGGCACAAGTAGGACAGTGGGAATCTCCTCCCAAAAACATATATATTCTTGAAAACACAACAAATACAACTAATCCTAAAAGAGAGACCAGAACACACAGGACAACAGCCTGACTACATCGACACGTGCAAGAGCCCAGCACCTGGTGAAAGGGGTAAGATACAAGCCCCAGCCGGCAGGACCCCAGCACACCTCCCCCCAGCTCCCGGAGGGAGGGAGAGGGAGCCCAGGACTGCTAAACACCCAGCCCCAGCCACCCACACCAGAGCGCAGACACAGTGCATGCGTGGAGGGCTAGAAACTAGGGAAATAGGGCAGCAAGACCTCTGAGTGGGTGCCGAAGCTGTGCCCCTGTGACAAAGAAAAGCCAGTGCTCTTTGAAAGTCTTAAAGGGACAGGGATTTAACAGCTAGAT